GGGAGTCCTCCATTCTCCCGCTCCATTTTTGAGTCTCACACTTGTCTCACACACAAACCAAAATCCTACTACGAAAGAGGAGTCCGCAAATTGCCTGTAAAAGGGCAGAAATCGTCAATAATAATGGAAGTTATTTGGAATGAATTGATGGTTTTATGTTCAATAAATTTTAGTTCAAAGTCCAGGCAGTTTTCAATTCACCAACCTAATATTTGAATTAAGTGCCTCAACTTATAAAGTTCCTACTGTTGAAGTGCTACTAGGTGCATATATTCATTTTAGAACATAACTAACAAACTTAGAAGACTATTTTAAAACTAAGATTGACACTCCTTCACGACAACGCGCGCCCTCATGTTGCAAAACTGACTAGCTCTAAAATAAATAGCCTTGTTTGGGAACTTTTGTCGCATTCCCCATACAGTCCGGACCTCGCCCCTTTTGATTACTATTTATTCTGGATCATGAGTAATGAGCTTGCGGGAGAACACTTTGATTCGGAAGAAGCAGTCAAAAATTGGCTTTGAAAGTTTTTCGATTCAAAAGCAAAATCCTACTACGAAAAAGGAATTCGCAAATTGCCTGTAAAATGGGCAGAATTCGTCAATAATAATGGAAATTATTTCGAATGAATTGATGGTTTTATGTTGAATAAATTTTAGTTCAAAGTCCAGGCAGTTTTCAATTCACCAACTCTTTTGTGTGTGTTTTGAGTGGTGTTCCGGGTAATTATTGTGGTTTCGTTTTGTCGTTATTCAACTGAATAAAGCATATATATATGTTGTGTCCGATTTAGATTTCCGTCCGATTTAGATTGAATCTAAATCGGACGTCCGATTTAGATTGAACTTATCGCGGACGTCCGATTTAGATTACAGTCTATATCGGACGTCCGATTTAGATTCAATCTAAATCTTATATAGATTGAGCAATAATACGTCTTATATAGATTGAACAATAATATAAACATGCTTAATATATGTTCTTAAGCGTTTTCTGTAGTTTTCTGCTTTTCCCTTCATTCGTGGTAGTTTTGTGGTTGTTTTGGTTTTTCGCAGTTTTCACGGTGATTGTGGAGCGTTTCAACCATCAAATTGTAGGCTTCAGCGGCTTCAGCACGTTTATTATTGTTCGATCTGTATCGGACGTCCGATATAGACTGTAATCAATAAAAGACCTTTGAAAAATGCAGAAAACTACAGAAAACGCTTAAGAACATATATTAAGCATGTTTATATTATTGTTCAATCCATATAAGATTTAGATTGAATCTAAATCGGACGTCCGATATAGACTGTAATCTAAATCGGACGTCCGCGATAAGTTCAATCTAAATCGGACGTCCGATTTAGATTCAATCTAAATCGGACGGAAATCTAAATCGGACACAACATATATATATATTTATTTATTTAATACAATAAAAACTTAAATAAATCTATAATTTTTAAATAAATGAAATCAATTTTTCGAGTTTTTGACTTACACGATCTTGATTCTAAAGTCATATTTTAAGACGTAAACAATTGACGCGAAAAACCAGCTAACTTTTGTAAATAAAAGTCGATTCGACTTTCTGAATCCCCCAATCACTTCTCCTTTAGCATTTCTCCATTATCACAATCGAATCTCCACTTTTCTTTTCTTTTTCTAGACGATACGCAAAATATTTTGCCGAAAATCTCCCCCCCAAAATCTGCCATTGCCGATGAAAGAAAGTGAAATGCTCAGCCAATGCTTTTTGGGAGGAGTATGTGTGTCTGTGTGTTGTCTCATTTTCGATATGCTCTTCTTTCCAATCTCAACTCTTTCCCTCCATTCAATCCTTTCGATCCGATCTATCGTTATGATCCAAGGCAATCGAAAAGACAAAGCAGAACATGAATTTGAACTCTTTTTCTGGGATTCGGGGAAAACCACGTAATGAGATTGCTATATTGAGATTGATTCAGATTTTTTTGACTTTGTTACATGTTAAAATAAACTTAAAGTTCAACTTTTCTTGTCGATAACTTAAAAAACAAGGTTTCTTGATTGATTGTTTGATTGACAAGTGAATAAAAGCTATCAATGCAAAGTAGATAAACTTTAGAAAACCATTAACATCTCTAGATTATCGACATCTCTAGATTATCGACCTCTCTAGATTATCGACCTCTCTAGATTATCGACATCTCTAGATTATCGACATCTCTAGATTATCGACCTCTCTAGATTATCGACCTCTCTAGATTATCGACATCTCTAGTTATCGACTCCTAGATTTCGACCTCTCTAGTTATCGACCCTCTAGTTACGCATCTCTAGTTATCGACCTCTCTAGTTTCGACCCTCAGATTATCGACATCTCTAGATTATCGACATCTCTAGATTATCGACATCTCTAGATTATCCAATTATCCAATCGATAGTCAAAGTCAAAGGAGAGAATAGGAAATGGATTACAATAGAAAAAAGGTATGATCTAAAACTCAGAATGCTCAACTTTCTTATGATTTCTACTTGAAATCTATCGATTAGAAATTCAAAAATCGAGTCAAACTAAAGTCAAACTGACTTGATTTCTTTCCAATGTCGAATTCGTTAAAGAAAAAAATGCTTTACTGACTAAGAAAAGGTGTAAATTTTTGATGTCAATAATTTGAGATCGGATTCTGGAATTAATTGGCTTTATTTCGATTCATTGCTTTCTGTAGAATTCTCGAAAAAACTTTGGCTGCTTAAACTTGGCCACTTTGTCGACTATGAAGACTGTAAAAACTGTGAAATTTCGGAGAAATTTGGAGAATTCTTTGAGATTTCTTTGTTTAAACTATTGTATTCAATCGATTTTTGAATAGAGATTTCGAATAGACATTCAACAGCATGATCGCTAGCTAGCATGATCGCTAGCTAGCATGATCGCTAGCTAGCATGATCGCTAGCTAGCATGATCGCTAGCTAGCATGATCGCTAGCTCGCTGTCGCTCTCGATGATCGCTGGCTCGCATGATCGCTAGCTCGCATGATCGCTAGCTAGCATTCGCTACTAGCATGATCGCTAGCTGCATGATCGCTAGCTTGATGATCGCTAGCTAGCATGTCGCTACAGCATGATCGCTAGCTAGCATGATCGCTAGCTAGCATGATCGCTAGCTAGCATGATCGCAGCTAGCTGTCGCTAGCTAGCATGTCGCTGCTAGCTGATCGCTAGCTAGCATGATCGCTAGCTAGCATGATCGCTGCTGCATGTCGCTAGCTAGCATGATCGCTAGCTAGCATGATCGCAAGCTAGCATGATCGCTCTAAAAATCACTAGCTCTAACAATCACTAGCTCTAAAAATCACTAGCTCTAACAATCACTAGCTCTAACAATCACTAGCTCTAAAAATCACTAGCTCTCGTTTTTAGAATCAATATCATTCTGATATTGATAACTATATAAGGTTAGAATTGATTTTTATATTATCAGTTTGATTCTATTGATAAAGAGGGGTTTTTTGAATCAAGTGATGAGTCAACACGAAATTCTTGAGAACATTATTACCATTACTCTCTTTTTCTTTCAAGTGACCTTGCCGCTTATTCAAGAATCTCACCCATTTTTTTTTCATCTATCAAAAGATCAACAAAAAATCAGAAAAAGAATATAAAGTTTTGTTGAAGTAGAACCGTCCCCAAGTCGTCCTCTTTCCTAATTTCTTTGCCTCATTTTTTGTGCCATTGCTTTTGAACACAAAAAAAGTTCGATTTTCAAGTTCGTTTGTTCTTTGAGAGGTTTTAAGGAGAGGAAATTCGACTCAATTCTATTCTCACTTTTCGATCCAGGCCATGCTGCCATACCGTGGCAATGCGAAAGGAAAAGAATGCCGAAAAGAAAGAAAGAAAGAAAAGAACATTTGAAGGATCACGATTTTTGTTCAACTGCTTTTCTGGTGTTGATCAAAAATTATTGACTGAATTACTGAGTTTTGATAGGTTTTTCGATTTTGATAATCATTTCCACTATTCACAAACATTTTATATAAAGTTATATAAGTTATATAAGTTTTATAAGTCTATAAAGGCTTTTATATAAAGGCTATATAGAGTTTTGAACGAAATGAAAGCACAAAGCTTAAGTGAAAATGAAAATGAAAGCTAAACATGTCAAAAATTTGAACAGGTAAAACACTAAAAGAGGTTTGAGTCGAAAACGTTGGAAAGATTATAAAGTTTAATGTTAAGGGTTTTAAGCCGGCTTTTTTACTTTTCGTTTTCGCTCAATTTTCTGTCTTGGGCACCCCTAGCGATCGAGTCAATCCCGCAGCTTAAGGAGTACCTACAGCTAAACAAGAACAAGCATCGGATTTAGAACTTGTAAACTAAGTCAATTGTTTTAAAAGTTTCACATTCGCTGCTTCTTCCAAGTCCACTACCTGAGCTAAACCTAAATCAGTACTTAGGCAGTATTTTTGAGAGTAAAACCTAATTCAAACCTTCTATCTAATCTAGTAATTTTTGGAGACTAGCTACGGCCTCCCACGTTGAAACACGGTATCCCGTCAGATCTGCATCGTCAGATCCGTCAGATCGTCAGAAGCGACGTCATCAGTTAGTCTCTGGTTCGAATCCAGCAGATGAGTCAGGGGTATCTTCCCTGAACCGAGTGCTGTAGGTAACCGCATCCATTTGGTGAACTGGTTCCCAAGACCGGAGTTTTCCTTTTATTTACGTTCATATTCATGTTAATTATTTATCTTTTTAGCTAATAAAAGCCCACAATTAGCTCAACATTAAATTTGTGCTTATGAGTCTAATTGTAATGATCAGTCAAAAGTTCAAGTAACCTCAAATGCTACGACTCTGATCTAATCGACTCTGATCAAATGTTAAATTATTCAAAAGTTAATTTTCCCTGAACCGAGTGCTGTAGGTAAACGCACAAAACTGTGGTGAACTGGTTCCCAAGACCGGTCTCCTTAGGTCCCTTTCCCTCGGGATTGGGATAACCAGGGATCCAAATGGGTAGACTTGTCTAATGCGCAAGCTCATGCGCAGGCTAAAGCGTGTAGCCTTCTCCTCCTACATCGTCTTCTACATCGTCTCCTACATCGTCTCCTACATCGTCTCCTACATCGCCTCCTACATCATCTCCTACATCTTCTCCTACATCGTCTCCTACATCGCCTCCTACATCTTCTCCTACATCTTCTCCTACATCGTCTCCTACATCGCCTCCTACATCTTCTCCTACATCTTCTCCTACATCGTCTCCTACATCGCCTCCTACATCTTCTCCTACATCTTCTCCTACATCGTCTCCTACATCGCCTCCTACATCTTCTCCTACATCTTCTCCTACATCGTCTCCTACATCGCCTCCTACATCTTCTCCTACATCTTCTCCTACATCGTCTCCTACATCGTCTTCTACATCGTCTTCTACATCGTCTCAATCCTCACAAACGATAAAATATTCCCTAGGTCTTAATGTGCAAATTGTGATTATGTGTGTGCAAAATAAATCACTGGTAAAATAATGTGCAGAAGTGTAAAATAAATCACCTGTAACCCCGATATAAATTATAGCTGAGAAAAGTGCGCTTTAAAGCAATCCACAAGCAAGCACTTTCTATAAAGTTTCAAGTTGAGTAAAATTTGAGTAAAATTCAAAACAATAGCTGTTCAAAGATCAAAAAATGTGTTGACAACGAGGAAAGGAAGCAGATCTTTTTGGATAAACTAAAGTACTCAACTAAAGTACTCAACTAAAGTACTCAACTAAAGCACTCAACTAAAGTACTCAACGAAAGTACTCAACTAAAGTTTACTCTAGTATCCAACAAGTATCCAACAAGCTTATTCAAATAAAATACCCCATGTCATCAGCCAAAATTCCCCTTGTCCATCCCATCGACTATGTCAAATCCATTCTTTTGTGGCATGGTTGTCATTTGATGGATTGTCTTTTTTTTTTAATGATTTGAGTTCTTCTCTTTTCTCTTCTCTTCTCTTTTCTCCCCTTCCGCTCGTTTATTGGGTTCACTTTCATTGTGATGATACATCGTCGTTGACAATCGATTCACTAATATCATTTTGTGAGATTTCATTTCGATTTTATTAGACACTAATGAGATTATAGTCTGGCATTGAATCTGGCATTGACTCTGGCATTGATTGATTTCATTGAGCTCTTTCTAGAAAAACACCCATGTAGTAACTCTAAGTAATCATTAGAAAAAGCAAATCTTCTTTTATAAGTTTATAATAGTAATGAAATGATCAGAGATTTCATTGAAATTTGAAAGACAAAAGTCAAACTTGATTAAAGTCAAGCTCAACAAATGTTCTCTTAGATGTTACTGTAGCTGTTACAGTGTTGAAGTTCTATTTAAAGTCCTGGATTACGGTAGCTGAAGCTTATGTTTACTAGAACTAAAGAACTACTGTAACTCGACTCAAAATTATTGTAGCTGATCTTAATAGTAACCCACAGTAACCTACAGAGTACAGACTCAAAGATTAATGTAGCTGGAACTTCAAAGGTTACTGTAGCAGGAGTTTATTGTACTTACTGTTACTGTAGGTTACTGTAGGTTACTGTGGGTTACTGTAGGTTACTCCAGGGCTACTGTAGGTTACTGTAGGTTACTGTAGCTGCTGGAACTTATGGGTTACTGTAGCTAGAGCTCTTTCTAGAAAAACACCCATGTAGTAACTCTAAGTAATCATTAGAAAAAGCAAATCTTCTTTTATAAGTCTATAATAGTAATGAAATAGGTTCATCATTGAATGCCCAAAGAAAAAGTGAATCTAACCGGCTTTTTTTTCTTTTCTGATATGCATCGACACCCGAAAAAATTCTCTTTTCATTTCATTCACCGGCTGGCAATAAAATCTGAAAAATACGAGCTATCTGGAAGAAAAAAGAAAAAAAGAAAGTGTCTTTAGGCTGTGTTTTCTTAAAAATTAAAAAAAAGACGTCATCGGTTAGTCTCTGGTTCGAATCCAGCAGATGAGTCACGGATATCTTCCCTGAACCGTGTGCTGTAGGTAAACGCACCCATATGGTGAACTGGTTCCCAAGATCGGTCTCCTTAGGCCCCTTTCCCTCGGGATTGGTATAACCAGGGATCTAAACCTAGAAATTAGGCTTTTTTTTCTTTTCTGATATGCATCGACACCCGAAAAGATTCTCTTTCGATTTCATTCACCGGCTGGCAATAAATTCTCAAAAATACGAGCTATCTGGAAGAAAAAAAGAAAAAAAGAAAGTGTCTTTAGGTTATGTTTTCTTAAAAATTAGAGATATTCTCTCTGAATATGAAAAAATGTGTTCAAAAAGACTAATAAATGATTTAAGTTTTGTTTTTCTGCTGCTACAGTAGCTCTAAAGCTACAGAAGTTCTAAAGCTACAGAAGTTCTAAAGCTACAGTAGCTCTAAAGCTACAGTGGTTCTAAAGCTACAGTGGCTCTAAACTACAGTAGCTCTAAACTACAGTAGTTCTAAAGCTACAGTAGTTGTAAAGCTACCGTAGTTCTAATTCTAAAGTCTTTAGAAGTCTAAAAACCAGAGTCGTTCTAGATCAAAGAAAAAAAAAATTATTTCTTCGGTCATAAAAGCTCACAACACACTGCACCAATGTCACCACACCATTCCATTTTCAACTCCAAGAAAACGTGCAGAAGAACAGTGATCCTTAGCCTCATGTTTCCGCCGACCCGTGTGTGTGCGCGACAGTTTTCTATCTTCTCTCAAAATCTGCACTTCTTTTATCTGCTTTGCGAAATGGCATCTCACAGCCTTTTTTTTTGCCTTTTTGCCTTTTTGCTGAAAGCCTAAAGCTTTTTGGCATTCACCTTAAAGACTATAAGTGAAATGACAAAAGAAAGAGAGGGTAAACGATACTCGCTTTTAGCCTTTCCTTCAATAGATCTCTTCATCAGCCTCTTCTTCTAAAAAAAAAAACTCCCCACGTTTTTTAACCACTCCTCCCTGCCCTCCCACCCATTTCTCCATATATAAACGCGATTTTGTCTCAGCTATTACACTCACTTTTACATTCTCCTTTAAACAACAAGCCATTTGGCTAGCATTTTACCAATCTTTGAGTTCTTTGAGTTCTTTGACCTCACTTGCAGCTTTCTTACAGTACTTAAGAGTTTTAGATGAGGACGTGGCTCCTGCTGTTGGGCCTTGCCCTTGTGGCACTCGCCGTCTATGCTAATGAGGAGAAGAAGGTTGGCATTTTCTACATTATTACAGTACTCTTTCACTATAATCTCTATTATTCCTAGTTTTTTTACAGTTTAGCATATCCCTTTAACTATAGAAATATTGGCTCACTATTGGCTTTGTATCGCTTTCCTATAGCTTTCTTTTTGATACAATACCTACTACAATAGACTCATAGTCTGCAAGAAACTGCCATATAGTTAGCTATTCTTGAAATATGATAGCTTGCTCTAGATTCTAGACTAGCTATAGTACAGCACTAGACTAGCTATAGTATATCACTAGACTAGCTCTAGTACAGTCCAGTAATCGAGCAATGAACAAGAATCCATTATCAAATCAATTCCAGGAAACTGATTCGGCTGTAGCCACCTCAGAGACTGAGTTGATCCGTGAGAAGAGGGCCGCGAAGAAAAATCTTGTCGGATCTTTCGTTCACAAACTTCGCTCTCCACTCCGTAAGCGTCACCACAAGCGCCGTCATGCCATCAAACGCCGTCATCACAAGAAGAGAAGAGGGTAAGCTATTCTACTGAAAAATAGTCTACTGTACGGAAAAATAGACCACTGTACTCTTAAATAATCCTTCTCAACTTTCAGACACCGCAAGGGACACAAGAAGTCTCTTCACAAGAGAAGAGCCCACAAGAAGCGCTCATCACTCCGCAAGCGCAGAGCTCACCACAAGCGCTCCTCAATCCGCAAGCGCAGAGCTCACCACAAGAAGGCCGCTCTCCGTAAACGTCGTGCTCACAAGAAGCTCCGCTCGCTTCGCAAACGCCGTGCCCACAAGCGTGCCTCCATCCGTCGCCGCCGTAACCACCGCAAACTCCGCAAACACCGTGTCCACCGCCGTCAACGTAACGTCCGCAAGCACCGTGCTCACCGCAAGGCTCACCAACTCCGCAAACGCCGTGCTCACAAACGAGCTCTCCTCAAGCGCCGCCGTGCTAACCGCAAGGCCCACAAACGATCGCTCATCAAGCGTCGTCGCGTCCACCGCCGCCGTGTCGCTAAGAAGCACGCCAACCGCAAACACCGTCGTGCTTTGAAGAAGGTGAAGATTTAGAATTGAAATTGTAAATTAATCAATCAATTCCAGAGACGCCACACCCGATCGGTCTCTTTCTCTCAACGCAAGCGTGCTCACAAGCGTGCCCGCATCGCCAAACTCCGCTCAATCCGCAAGCAACGCAAGATCCGCAAGCACCGTCGTGCTCTCCGTGCTAAGCTCCAGGTAAACAAAGTTTTAGGTCTCAATTAGGTTTTAAGCTTAAGCAGCTTGTAGTCAAGCTCGATTTTGTAATAAAGAAGTCAAGGGATAGCAAGGAAAATTAGATTTCGGAGATGAGATTGAATTCATTTCAAACTCACTTCTGAATTTAGCTATAGTATTTCGAAGTATCAAAAGTTTAGAAGCTATCAGGAAGACAAAAAGAAAGCTAATTTTCTCAAATTTCTAGCGTCAACGCAAAGCTCACCGCCGAAACCTCCACCGTCGCATCCGAGCTCATCGCCGTGCTCACCGCCGAGGTGCCCGCAAGCACCCCGGCGCCGCTCGCAAACATCGCAAACACCGCAAACACCACAAACGCGGTTAAACTCACCATCCTCCATTCGCCATCCGACAAAAAACCGACATCCATCTCGATCGATCGATAACTTATTTACCTTTCCCAAATCTTTCCCTTTTTCAAATTCCCCTCTAGCTTTCGATAGATCTCTTTTGTCACTGTATGTATAGGTTGTCGATGATGATGATGAACAATAAATTATTTATTCGTTTTTTGAAGTCCAACAAAAATTACTAAAGACTAGCTATAAAGAAATACGATTCTTTAAAAAAAAAAACTCTTTAGAATGGAGCGAATGGCCGATGAGCTAGGTACTCCTTAAGCTGCGGGATTGACTCGATTCGCTCACGGTGCTCCAAGATCTAGAAATATTGAGCTGAAATAGCTGAAAAGTTTAATAAAAGGCTAGCTTAAAATCCTCTTAATCATTTAAACTTTTATAATTCTTTCAAAAATCAGTTTTCAAGACTCAAACGTCTTAAAGGAAGATCTCCACTGTCAAAGATTTCAACTTTGCTCAAAGATTTCAACTTTGCTCAAAGATTTCAACTTCGCTCAAAGATTTCAACTTTGAAATCAATTTTAAGCTTCTTTCTTCTAGCTCTTTAAGTTTAATCTATCAAATTCTTGAGTTTTAGATTTTATTTCTAAAATCTACCCTAGGAAAATCGTTTGAGAACCCGGGCGCAATCCCCTCCATTCCAGCGGTGTGAATCGAAAGCAACAAGTCGGCATACGTCACCGATTTCCCAACCTGGAAAATTTTCGAAATGAAATTTTATTGCAATTGCAATTGCTTTCAATTGAAAACGACTTGACAATGAAATGATCTAATGCTTATTTATCTCATCATCCAATGCTTTTACTGGTAGCTCATAATTTGGTAAGCGAAGTTTTGAAAGAATTGATCCAGATCCACTGCGCTACTTACGAATTTACCTTTCAAATTTGTTCTTTGTAAACGCATCTAATGTAGGGGTAATTTCTGGAATTGAACTAACGAACTCGTTATTTAAATCCAAAGTGTCATTCTTGATGCCGTGACCAGTCTTCTTCCCCTTCTTCCCCTTCTTCCCCTTCTTCCCCTTCTTCCCTCTTTCTTTTGGCAAGTTAGGCTACCGGATAACTCAATGGTTAGAGCAATTGCCCGGGAAGCAGATCCCTTCTAATTTTTCTTGTCAATTCCTTCACTTCTTTATAAGAGGCTTAACCGTTAGAAGTCAGGCGAAGTAATCAAAGATTGCTTGCAAAGAATTAAAAAAGATTTAAAGATTTAATTTATTTAAAATTAAAAAAGATTTAAAGAAAATTAAAAGTAAAAACCCAAAAGCAAAGCTTTGACAATGGTAGAATTCGAATAGCTTATTGTTAAGCTTGACTTTAGCCAAACCAAATTAGCAAGACTCACCAAAAACCCGGTCCCATTCGATCGGAGAATGTTTGAGAGGTATCGGAGCATTTTGTTTCTCGCTGGCACCATCACCGAGTTGAACAAAAACTCCTGAAACACACAGGAATGCTTTGTCTTTTCTTGTTTTTTTTCTGCTAACCTTGTCACCCTGGGTGAAGCCGACAGCGACGGTGAAATACTCGCGGTACTCGTTAAAGTAATCCTAAATACAATCAAAATATATCGTCATTTTGTCTCTAGCTATTCTTAAATTTTTGAATATTCCTGGAAAAGGACCTGGAAAAGATCACCAATCATGTCCACTTGAGCCGCCTCGATTTCAGTCTCTCCAGCATAACCTTAAATAGAAAATTTTCCTAACTTTCCTAATTTTTCCTTGAAAGCGAGCTAAAAATTTGCAAAAACTTGCTAGATTCAAAAAGCCAATATGTTTTAGCCGCTTAAGCCAATATGTTTTTACAAAAATGTTAGCCAAAACCAACATAAAATTAAGATTTTCGTTGACCAAAAATTTTCAAATAAGAACTTTTTGACTTTTTGAGAATTGATGAGATATTTTTATGGACTTAGACACGTCTTTTTTCTCTTTTTTTGTCTTTTTTTTATTATGGAAATTTATCTATTATCTTATAAAATACCTATTTTAACTGGAAGCTAGTCGAGTTTGCTGTTGTTACAAACTGTTTTTACAGAAATGGAGTCGATTTTTGACTACCGTATTTTCTCTAATAGTAGTGCACCCAGAGCGTTCCCTAAGTTCCTCGAAATCTCGTAAACCGCTTATCAGAACCTATCGATGTGGGGTCGGAAAATGTAGCTGACGATGAGATCTTGCCGGGGATTAGAGTGTTGAGCTTCTGTGAAAACTTGGAAACCGTAAAATGGCGATCAACTCGGCTCGGCCAAGCGGAGGGGGAGAGGGCAATACTATTAGAGAAAAGAAAGAATACCGTATTTTCTCTAATAGTAGTGCACCCAGAGCGTCCCCTAAGTTCCTTGAAATCTCGAAAACCGGACTATCATGTGTTCAGGTATTTTGTCCAGAATCGTCCGATTATCATTTTTTCAGGTCTCTGGCGTCATTTGTGTGGAAAGATCTTTCAAAACGTCGAGGAAATGCGCTTGTCACTCGCTCAGTTTTTCGATTCGAAGCCACGTGAGTTTTACCGCCGCGGAATCTATTTGTTGCCGGATAAGTGGCAGGATGTTATTGATGTTGACGGTGAATATTTCGAGTAGATAAATTCTGTTTTTTTATTTGGCGTTTTTGATGCGTAAAATAAAAAGGGTAGATCTAGCGTCAAAAAGCGGAAACAACTTTCTGGTCAACCTAATAATTGTGATAGTGCCAGGTTGCACAAGTTTGAGCGAAATTTACCCTAATAAGGGAAAGTTTTGATAAATTGTGCGTTTTCAAGACATCCACCATTAAACCACGCCGAGGCACGGTCTCACAAGAAATTATAAAGATCAAAGTATAAATATATTTCTTGCAAGTAAAGAAATCAACTTTAGATTACGGTATCTGTTTGATGAAAGAAATGGAAACTCCGGGGATTCCGTTCCTCAATCAATCCATACGATCTAGCGTCAAAAAACGGAAAGAACTTTCCGGCCAGCCTAATATTAGAGAAAATACGGTACACGTTAAATGATAGTCAAAAATCAACCTTTAGCACATGCATTTCCATTTCTCAAAAACTTTGCATTAGATTTCGATCATTTAATGCATTTAATCACCAAAACTTCAATTGTTGTTAGAAAAAAATTGAGAAAAAGTTATCGTTTTAGTTTTTTGTCAAAAGTTCGTCCGAAAACGCAGCCAATTTCAGACTCGTCAACTCAATATTTCAAGCGCAAAGTATAATAAAGTCAATAAAGACAATAGTACAATAAATTACAATAGATTAGATACAATACAATAAATTTCTCTTACCAAATTGTCTTCCCAAAAAGCGATAGATGGCATTCGATTGTGGGAGAAACTCGCCGTCCACCTCCAAAACGGGAACTTGTCCATAAGGCATTTCTAAAAAAGATTAACTTTGCTGTAGCATCTTATCATTGGTAGCAATTGGTAGCAAATTTGTGAGTTTAGGTTAAAAATTGCGGGCGCTACAAAGTTCCATTCAAAATCGGCGTAGCCGACTATGGATTTCAGCTGATTATGAATAGGCGTGTCCAACCATCAAGTGTTTGGTATCATTCAACGCAGAATCATTGATAATTATGTTAAATTTTTTTAATTAGAAAGATTAAATAAAAAGAAAAAAATTTACGCCGCTTCAAAGTTTTCTCAAAAACAAACAGTTTTTTCGCTCTAATTTTTTTTAGAGGCCTGGCTTGGCTTTAATTCTTTAGCCCACGGAAGCAAAGTTCGCAAAAAAGCTAGAAAACAAGGATAGCCAAATAGCATTGACCTGGATTTGGCCTAAAGCCTTGGCTTGGACTGGAACTTCTTGGAAATTGGCAAAATAATTGGCTAGGCTTGGCTTGGCTAGGCTTGGCTTGGCTAGGCTAGGCTAGGCTTGGCTTGGCTTGGCTAGGCTAGGCTTGGCTTGGCTTGGCTTGGCTAGGCTTGGCTTTGGCTAGGCTAGGCTAGGCTTGGCTTGGCTAGGCTAGGCTAGGCTTGGTTTGGCCTCAAGCCTTAAGCTAATAGTTTTGCTTTAAAGTTTAAACATTATTTATAGTTCTTTGATATGTTCTCCATCTACAATCTCTTGTCTCACCTGCTTTATGCTTAGGCCAATCCTCCATACTTATCCGCACGTCTTCATAGGGTTGACCGGCTAGAGCGAAAAGTTGTCGCGCCGGCTCGCCTCGTCCGTACAAAGCAAAATAGTGCAGCTTGTAGTGGACCATCGTTTTACCCAAAAAAAACTCTTTCTTTACTTTTAAATGAAATCAAAAAAAAACAAACAAGTTAATGTCTATGAAATGGAAATAAGTTTAGCGAGAAAGTTGCAATTGTTGCAGTTGCAATTGTTGAAAGTTGCCAGAAAGTTGCCAGAAAGTTGCAATTGTTGTTGATTCAACTGCAACATTCATTCAACTTGATTAGTGCACCCCGTCGAGCCGAGTTGATCACTATTTTACTTGATGTTGATTGATACAAAATTGCAAGTTATCGATTCAACAGACATGTTTTTGTTAAATTTTAGAAAGCTTTAAAACAAAAATTCAAATCAAAATCTGCTTTTATCATTCAAAAACGGTTTATAACATTTAAAAAAAAGAACGAATCATTTGTTTGTGATGCTATAATGTTGAGGGGAAATTTTGCACAAAAATTCTTTTCTCCGGCATTGAGGCCGAAGACCGATAAGGAAAATCTATAGAAGACTTTGGGAAAAGATTAGAAAAAATCGAAGAAATCGAAGAAATCGAAGAAATCACCTTTGTTTTTTTTGTCGACAACTAACTTATTGCTATATTGGATTTGGAGGCTAATGGATAACAAAAAAATCGAGTCCAGATCGCATTGTTCTCTCGATTTAGCTACTGTTGAAGAAATGCAGCACTCTAAAAGATTGTAGAATTTTTTTTTGCAAAAATACGGCCAAATTTAGTGCAAAAATTGATGGAGCCAGGAGTTGGTAAACGACTGATTGGT